GTTGTTCTGATCAGATGGCTTAGAGAAATTTCTGGAATATTCACATTCAAAGATTCCTTATTAATGAATGTCTTTGACTTAAATCTAACCAAAAACTGCAACATTATTCTTTGTACATTTTCATTATATAGTGTTAACAAGCTTAGTTGCAAACAAATAAAATACTTAAGCTATTTGTTTACCTTGCCTTCTTAATACTGTGATAATGTTTACTAATTCAGATAACTTATGTGAGAGCTGCTATAACCATTTCCCCAGTTCAACATTACATTGACATTTATGGACCTTTAAAAAAAAGCCCAACAGTGATTTTTTTAAATAATTAAAGAATGATTTTACTTCGTATTTGAAGGGCAGTTTGTTATCTCTTTTTTCATGGTAGTCACTTGTTCCTAAAAGAGGAACATAGCATTGGCTGTAATGGGAATGGCGCTGCAGTGGGCTAGTCACACCAAAATAAGGAAAGGGCAGCTGTGGGGGCCATCAGAAGCCATGGAGGCTGAACCAGTAATGGGGAATGCTGCCCAACTGAAGTCTTGTTATAGATCAGAGTTATGTGCTCACTTACTATTTAAAGTGTCAGCTCCCATTCCAAGTAAGTTGCTCCTGGCTGGGAAGTAGAGTAGATTTCTCTAAGGAAAATGACACCTGCTCACCCCACCCATTTTGCTCACTCTACCCATTGTTGTTGGGCTGTCATGTAAGGTTGCCCTCTGGGGTCATAAGGTAAAACCAAACCACCAAGGCTCGGTTTTGGGATCCCCTCTAAAGAGACTACACTTGTTTGTCTAGTGTTTATAATCTAGAGAAAAGACAATTAGGACAGAAAATGGGGACCTGGAAGGGTAGGTCTTAGACTGGCAAATGAAGGAATTTTTCCCTAGATGTTGATTTCCAGAGCTTGAATTTAAGGGCACTCTTTGTCCCATGGAAATTACAGACCAAGGAAGAAGTCACCCTACAAAAGCATAAATCTCAGGACCAGAGTTTTCAGAACAGCCATGTCTGGTGAGCTAGTTTTTTCTCAATTTTAATTCCAGTTATTATCCTCTTGATAGTCTTAAGCTTAGGGGTAAAAAAGGAGTAAGTGTCCATTCTTGGGTCAGAAGAGGAAAAGGAACATCAGAGCTCCTGAAGCAGTGATAATTATTAAGATCTTCCAATGGGGAAGACCATCAGGGAGTACAAGAATGAATTTAAGCCAACCTTCCAGACCTGGTGAATCTTCTAATCTTCTGCTTACTGTGGAGGATTGGTTGGCTAGTATAGTAGTTAAAGGACTGACTTTGGGTGTTTGTAGCTCTGCAGTTTAGTTTCTCCTCTGCCACTAATCTGTTTATGTCAGCCTTGCCAGGTTACTAAACTCTGAACTATGGCTTCCTTACCTGTAAAATTGAGGTTAATAATAGGTACATACTGGATTTTGTTTTCAAATGCAAGAAATAATCCATGTAAAGAAAGTATTTAGCACAGCTTGGGCACAGACTGCACTTTAAAATGTTAGAGCAGGTTTCTTTATAGTAGCCTTCATCAGATCTGGAGACCCATACTTTTGTGTCCCAGGTAGTGATTCTCAGTTTTCCAATATGAATAGCCCCTTGTTAACATAAAGACTTTACTTTTTCTTATTAGAATTTGTATCTTTAAGTGTTTGATTAAGGAAATAAAAGATGAATGACAAATGAATTTGGTAATACTGTTCTGTGAATCTGTATTCACTATGTGTGGTTTTGTTTTGTTTTGTTTACTATGTATATTTTGTATGTTACTCTATAATGGGGTCATACAAAAACTGGCCTGTTTTTGGAAAGTTTTGTGGAAACACTGCTACACCTATTCATTTCTCTGTGGCAGCTTTCAAACTGCAACCCCAGACTTGCATAGGTGTTACAAAGTATGAGCCACAGAGCTGAAAATACTGTGTCCTTTTACACAAAAATAGTGCCTTTGCACTAGAGCATGAAGAAACATTTGAAAAAGAGCACACAAACAAGGCAAACTTACTCATCTATAATCCTGGTTGCATCATGAGTTGGTGAACACTTACCCTAATTTGTCGTTCTTAAGGATATTATACCTTAAGTTGAGGTGCGATGAAAAAATCCTTTTTGCTTACAAATAAAAACTGATTGCCAAAGTAAGTATGTTACAGAAAAAGCTACCGATAACTGTTTAGAGCAATGATTCTCAAGGATGGGGACAGGAAGCATACAATTGGGGGAGGGAAAAAGATTTGAAATGACCAATTTTATTTCATGCATTTTTAATTTTAGCATTTTAAGTACAAAAATGGGTGTGAGAATTTTACTTAACAGACATAGCAGGACTTTAAGGGTAGTTTGTAAAATACTATTCTTAAGGAACAGAGTTTAGTAGTGCCCATGGGCTATTAAAAAGGAACAGAGACTTCTCTGCTACTCTGGAGTCTTTTGTTAAAAACAGATTGAGGGAGTGCTGTGGTCTTCCAGAGCTACAGTTTAACTCGACCTTGGATAAGATTGGACACCTTCTGGGCCGGGCGCGGTGGCTCAAGCCTGTAATCCCAGCACTTTGGGAGGCTGAGGCGGGTGGATCACGAGGTCAACAGATCGAGAGCATCCTGGTCAACACGGTGAAACCCTGTCTCTACTAAAAAAAAAAAAATTAGCTGGGCATGGTGGCTCGTGCCTGTAGTCCCAGCTACTCAGGAGGCTGAGGCAGGAGAATTGCCTGAACCCAGGAGGCGGAGGTTGTGGTGAGCTGAGATCGCGCCATTGCACTCCAGCCTGGGTAACAAAAGCGAAACTCCGTCTCAAAAAAAAAAAAAAAAAAAGATTGGACACCTTCTGGAAAAAAGTGTACATTTAGGGATGAACCTCCAGTTACCACCCCCCAAACCATACTTTCAAGTAAATAATTAGCACTTTATTGTAGTGATGGTATGGTATTTAGACAACTTAAAGATCTGGTCTTCATGGGTCTGTTTTTGTTTTGTTTTTTTTTGGAGATGGAATTTTGCTCTGTCACTAGGTTGGAGTGCAGTGGCATGACCTCGGCTCACTGCAACCTCCGCCTCCCGGGTTCAAACGATTCTCCTGTTCTCCTGCCTCAGCCTCCTGAGTAGCTGAGACTACAGGTATGCACCACCACACCCAGCTAATTTTTGTATTTTTAACAGAGACGGGGTTTCACCAAGTTGGCCAGGCTGGTCTCAAACTCCTGACCTCGTGATCTGCCTGCCTTGGCCTCCCAAAGTGCTGGGATTACAGGTGTGAGCCACTGTGCCTGTCTTTGTTTTTGAGACAGAGTCGCCCTGTCTCAAAAAAAAAAATATTTTAACTGCTTTTTCTTTTTCTTGCGAGGTGGAGTTTTGCTCTTGTTGCCCAGGCTGGAGTGCAGTGGCATGATCTTGGCTCACTGCAACCTCCGCCTCCCGGGTTCAAGCAATTCTGCCTCAGCCTCCTGAGTAGCTGGGATTACAGGCAACACACCCGGATAATTTTTGTATTTTTAGTAGAGATGGGTTTCACCATGTTGGCCAGGCTGTTCTCAAACTCCTGACCTCAGGTAAGCCACCATGCCGGGCCATTTTAACTGCTTTTTAGTTGGCTTTGCCAGTAGGTTTCTCA